GTATCACACAGACAGACAGAAGCCTTTTCCCTCCCCCTCCAGATTTGAAAGTATCTTGTCTTCTCATTGGTCATTTTGGGTCAGGTGCCAGCCAGGTTACCTGAGCTTCTTAACTCTTTACAGGTAAAAGGACTTTGCCTCTGGCCAGGAGGGATTTTATAGCACTATATACAGAAAGGTGGTTACCCTTCCCTTTATACTTATGACAGAGACAAACAAAAAAAACACATCAATACTGTGGGGGATGGGGGAATGGAGGGTCCCAGGAGGAGGTGCGGCCCCAGGATGGTTAAAGATTTGTGTATGTCCAGGTATCACATGGAACCTTCTCCTTTGGAGTACAGTGCAGCGGGTACTGTACTTCAGCAGGGCTAAACTGCAGAGAGATGGGTGTTGAGTGCAGTGGGTACTGGGAGTCCGCAGTGCTGGACTGTGACGGGGCAGGCATGGAATACCATGGGTACAGACTGGAGCCAGGAGGTTAATAAGAGTGTGTTGGTGGTGTCTGGGGGGCGCATGGGAAAGAGTTTTGTGACAGCAGCTGCAGGACAGGGCAGGCACGGAGCTGCTCAGTTTGCAGTGGCAGTAGTGCCTGGAGATTGTCCGCTTGGTGCTCCATAACTTTTAAGAGCCGCTTCGTGGCTTCATTCTGGCACACTGCGTTCTCCTTTTGGTCCCTATTCTCGTTATTCCGGCACTCCTTCGATTCTTGTTTTTCGACAGCGGAGTGCATCATAATCTCACGCAGAAAGTCCTCCTTACTTCTTCTTGGCCGCTTTCTAATTCTGTGCAGCCGTTCAGCCGGCGATAACAAAGAGGGAGGGCTGGACTCCCAAGGTCATATCTGTGAAGTCGAAATGCCACAGTTTACAGAAGCAGTATTGTTTGCAACACACAACACTGATTCAGTGACTTAAAACACAGACACTATTCACATACCTGTCATTAACTGGCTGACCGAGGCAAGCACACATGAGCCACAAGACCCCCAAAGTGGTGAGTAACTGCAGAGGCAGGGGAAATCAGTGTTCCAGGACCATAATACTGTACACTGGGAACGTGGCTCTTGGGGACAGCCAGCACTGTAGGGGGGGCCTGGTAATCATTCCTGTCCCCACATTTTCCACAGGCTGTGTTCATTATGGAAGATATCTCGCTTTTGATGGTGAGCAGGGAATCAAGGGAGGATCTTCTCCAAGACTGCTGCTTCTGCCCTGGCCCTTATGTGGCACATCTGTGGAGAGCAATGGTGTGTCCCCACAGTGACACCAGAGTAGTGCAGGAAAGTTACCCTTAATGGGGCAAGAAACAAAGCAGCTCTGCCAAAGAATCTGCAGCAGAAGATTGCCCAGTATCTCCATGAGAGTTTCCTGGAGATCTCCGAGGCAGATTCCTGTGTTGTGAGGGAGTCAATCAACAACCTGTTCTGCTGCTCAGATTAGGCATGTGGTGGTATCATACAGACACAAACCTGCTTTCTGCAACCCTCCTGCCCCCAACAACTCGCCTCAGCAATTCCCAAAATCAAAGCCACTTGCCAAGGGCCTCCTATCCTGTTTGTTCTTCGCCAAGTTCTGACAACTGTGACTGGCTAGCCTCCTCCGGGGCAAAGCCTCCTCCTGGTTGCATGCATCTCTGACCTCTGAGTCATCCTCTGCCTCTGGGTCACCCTCCCGTGCCACATCCTCGTCCAATATTTCTTCCTCCTGGCTCGGTCCACCCTCGACTGGCAGGCAAGCCACAGAAGTATCCACAGCGGCCTTTGCTGTGGAGGTGGGGTCATCACAGAGTATCGCGTCCAGCTCTTCATAGAACTGGCAGCTCACGGGCACAGCTCCGGAGCAGCCGTTTGCCTTCCACGCCTTGTGGTAGGCGTTCCGTAGCTCCGTCACTTTGACCCTGCACTGCAGTGTGTCCCGGTCTTGGCCCCTTTCTGTCATGCATCATGAAATCTGTCCGTAGATATCATAATTCCTATGTCTGGAACACAGCTGGAACTGGACAGTCTCCTCTCCCCAAACGCTGATGAGGTCCAGCAGCTCAGCGTTGCTCCAAGCAGGGGATCGCCTGGTGCATGGAGCAAGCATGGCCACCTGGAAAGATGTGCTGAGACCACTGCACGCATCACTGAGCAAACAGGAAGGGGACTTTCAAAATTCCCACACAATTTAAAGGGTGGAGCTCACGGTTGGTCACCTGAGGGCAGGGCAGTAGAGTTCAAACCGATGACCAGAGAGGTGAGAAAAGGCATTGTGGGACACCGCCCGGAGGCCAATCGCAGTGCTGTAATCGACCAGGGTGCCTACACTGTCACTGCAGCACTGTAGCCCCAGTGCAGAAAACTGGGTGATTTTTTTTACAGTGCTGCAACTGTGCAGTTTCTGCTCACTAAGTGACTTGTCAGCCCGTACACCTTGGGAGTTACTGCGCAGGGAGCTGCTTTACTGTGCAGAAACTTGCCAGTGTAGACAAGGCCTGAGGTAAAAAAGTTGAACTGCCCGAGGACACATAGGAATTAAGTGGCAGGGCCAGAAAAAGAGCTCAGAAGTTCCTGACTCCAGCTGCTGTGCTTATTCCTTTTGGCCAAACTGTTTCATCTCTCATATGAGCAAAACCAGAGATGGTGGGAGCAAAGAAAAGTCACACACACAATTGGTCACAAAAATTATAATTGTCTAGATAAATCTATAAAGATCAATGTGGAAAATCATACAAAATACTTTAGTAAATAAAAGCAAAGACAAAAAATACTCTGTGGCAAAGAAGATTTTAAATGTATTGTGCTGATACAGTACTAATATGCAGTTAATATTTTATTAAACTCTGGTAGAGGAGCAGCAAGTATGTGTTTTCAGCATGACTTCTGCTTAAGCTGCAAATTAATAAACATATATGCTAATAAGTCAAACTGTCAAGGGACTGATTAGTTTTCCAACACTAGAACACAGTGAAAAAGTTCTAGTGAAGTGTTGGTCTGTGGCAGAATCTGGCACCCCACTGTTAATCAACCTCACAGCATGTGAACATATTAATAGGACCAGAAATCTGTGCTTCAGTAAAAGACCTACCTGCACTTCTAAAATAAAAGCACCATTTTCAAAAACCGATAGCAATGCTATTCTGAATCAAGCTGATGTACCCAGAACATTGCCCTGTGAGCAGAAAGGGCACTGGTAAGATCATATATAAGTAGTCCCACGAGATAAACATGATGATCACACCATGCAAAGTGAGACTAAAACTCAGCAATATTATGAAACATTGCCTATTGCCTGATGGTGATATTGCACAGTTGCATTTGCTAAGAGAAGAGCTGTGTTTTGACCATGGAGTTTTCCCCATAACAAGGGGGAGGATGAAGTGACTGGAGAACAGCCTTACACCAGCCCTGGGACTGAGCTGGTATAATGTACCATTATTATTTTATTTGGATGCAGAGTTTGAAGGGACTTCCGCAACAGCAATGCATGCCAATTTTCAGAGGCCTAACAATTCTGAGCCATAGCCCTGTCCACAAATTGTCACTTGATTCACTACCCTAACAAGCTAAGACCTTCAAATGCCACAGCTTACAAACTCTGAATTGACATACCCAGGTGCAATGGGATGGCAACAACCATGAGGCGGGTAAGGTTATTCCAGGTTTTAGGCCTTTAAACCTCTCAAGTTTACAAATTTCATGAGATTACTTACTTTTCTAAAGTTCTTCTGACTGAATTATTGTCCCCTTAACTCAGTTATTTGGCCTGTACTTATATTGATATAAAAATACCATTCTCTTTTTAGGCAGTCCATCAGGCCTGGATTAGTCCAGGGCTGGGTCCTGAACCTAGGGAGGTGCCAGGATCATTCAAAAGTTAGATGTGCTGATCCACTACTGGTACCTAGATAGACTGTGGCATTATGACCGGCAGTGGAGGCAGGTAGCATGGACTGGGGTGCAGCGGCCCACCACCTCACAGCCGACTGGGTGGCAATATCTCCATTGGTGGCACTAGCAGGACCATGGATGAGATATATTTCACAGGGAAGCCAGAAGGAACTTGGGACCAAGATTTTTGGAAGCACTCTGTACCCAGCAGCTCCCATTGCTCTCTTCTTCTCCATGGGAGCTGCTAGGTGTGGAGAAATTTTCAAGTGCTGCCCGCTTCATTTAGATACCTGAATGGGGGCTGAGCGTTTTTAAAAATCTGTCCACTGAAGTGAAAAAGGGCAGAGCATCAATTCCCGCTGTTCCAGGTCACGACAGAACAAAGTTAACCAGGGGAAGGAGGATGCAGCAGGCAGCACATGCTTACTTAGACCTGTAGACCCAAACTGTTGCTACATATTGCACCAAATCTGGGGTCACCAGAGACTGGGGGGGGCAAAGACCAGAACAGCTGAGAAAGGTACATTTTATTCCCTTTCAATGGGATTTCTGGGGACAAAATGGGAGTTGGGGCTCTGAAATAGGAAGAAAGCATCTTTGAGGAGGAGTGTGCTGCCAAGGTGACAAGGCAGAAGGGTCTGTAAGGAGATCCTGACTAGAACGAAGCTTGTCCCTGACAAAGGCCAACATTTTGGCCAATACAATCCCCAATAGCATTAATATGCCCCAGTCTATCTAGAGTCCTCTGATCAATTGCCTTCCACAGCAGCACAGATCTTCTTTCCCATGGTTTGTTCCAACCTCAGCAAGGCAGGAGCTTGAGAAGAAAAGAATATGCAACTTTCTCCCTGCATTTGACCCACAGACTCCCAACTTGTCACAGCATAGAGTCCTCAGGAGGAGGATGTAGACTGTGTCGCTCATGCACACCTGTTGAAAGGAGGCCGGTCTACCCCCTCCAGTCACTGAATGAATTGCTGAAAGAAGAACAGTAAGATGGACAAAAGGCAATCTTAAAAACAGATAGCCCACTTGAAAATTCCACAGATATGTATGATGTAATAATTGCTAGGTGGTCTACTAATGTAAATTCCTTAATGTAACTATAGTCCTCGGGTAATTTTCTTACCTCAGTTCGATTAAAGTCCCTGGTCTGTTGACTAACTGGCAATGAGTCAGAATAAGAATCCAATAATGCGCAGTCACGTTTAGGCTTAAGGGAAGCTGGAGGGAAAGCAAAGATACATGTCTTTGTTTAATAACACACATATTTTACATGTATTAGATTATTATTTTTCTTCCCCACCCCTTCATACTGCATCTGATCTGGATAACAAGGTGATAAGTACTGTACAGAAAATCATTTTCTCTTGTATTATTTTTAAGTAACAGCATGTAGTGATGTATAAGTCTAATATATTGTAGAAACAATTGGGTGAAATTGAGGACAGATTTTGATACTATTCAGCCACCCAAAAACAACGGTGACTGAAGTTTTATTTGTGCCTTTTCTTCAACTGATCTAGAGTCAATATAGTTGGCATTACAGACTGGAGTGTTAGAACTATAAAACCTATTTGACAGGCCTGCAACTTCCTGTTTGTGTTATCTAGAATGGAAAATGTATTAGAACCCACACTACGCAATATAACTAAATGTCAGTGAAAAGCATGAAGACTAATCACAACACTTGCTTCAGTCTGTATCATCTTTAATAGTTTTCAATCAGGTAAACACTGGGAGCAGGAGAAACAACCCTGCAATTTGTTAAGGTAACATTTGCAACACCCATGTTTTTGTTCTATATACACAGACCCTTCTGCTAACACTCCTCAGGGATTAATCCCTTTAAACCATTAAGCATCTTGGTAGCTAGAAAACTATTTTTCTTAAGATTAATATGTTGAGTAGCAGAATAACCAATTCACAAGTCCAGTTTCTGATTAGCATCTGGTCCCTCCAAACAAACTAAGCTTTTACAAATCTGTATTAATTTAAAATACAGTTAGGTTACTAGACAGGGCAATCAGCTTTATGTTTTTTTATTTTAATTCAAGAAAAGCTTTCAAAGCAAAACACAGTGGGTCAAGTTCTTAATGGGAGTTACCCCAGCACAGAATTTAGCCCTGAACTTGTAGTTCACAAAACAAGCCATGTAAGTAGCAAAATTCATTCATCCTTAAATGCTTCTTTTGCAAGTCATTTTTTTATTTTAAACTTTTAACATTTCGATCAAATGCAAAAAATTCTGCTTGAGCCATATGAGTAAAGGACTCAGTCTACCTCATATTGGACTTAATACAACAGGCTAATGAGAACTGCTATCAAATAGACTTACATTCCTAAATGGCCAAGCAAAACCTTGATTTCATAGACATTAAACTATGGTACAGGACTTCTCCCATAAAAAACGTTTCATACCGAGTTGTCATAAATTCTAGCGTTGTACTTGGAAGTGGATATAAAAGGGTCCATAACATATATGGGGAAGCACACCCTACTGCTTTATTTATTTATTTATATTTGTATTCCAAAAGTTGTTGGTTCAGAAGCCTGTACTGTATGTGATTCACTGTGCAAGGTTTTTTTTTTTCTATAACACTTCTCCTTTCAAAAATCTCTCTCTTTATCTGTGAATCTTGTCTAAGTAGAGCTGTAAGTATTAGCTAAATGTCAAATCCCTCAACTACTCTGCCAATATCACTGCTAGAATTAATGGTTAGCCCTTGAAAAGCTTTGCTGCTTAAAAGAAACAAAACAGAGCTCATTTAGGAAGACAGAAGGCCACAGTGCAAACAGGGGAGCTCAGAACGAAAACTAGGTGCAAAGAAGAGGAAAAAATATATGGGAAAAAACCTCCCAGGCAACTGTCTGCCCTACTTTTTAAAATTTAATGTTTGGAGTTACATAGAAGATGCTTACAGAGGCATGCTGATTTCAGTTATTATTAATTGTATGTATTATAGTACTGCCTGGAAGCCAGCACCCCATTGTTCTAGGCCCTGTACAAATATGTAATAATGGGACAGTCCCTGCCACAAAGAGCTTACAATCTAAATATATAAGACTATAGACAACAGGTGGCTACAACAAGCAGATCAGGAAGCACAAGGACACAGCGAGACACCATCGGCCAGGACGATAAGCAGCCATGATCTTCTCCCTTTTTTTCTCCTCATGTATTTTTTTTCATTAAAATTAAGTAGATATTAGAAGTGCCAAACTGACATAATGAAAACTGAGGTCCTCTATCAACAGATCAGATATTAGATGGACAGCAACAATGCAAGCTTCCCCCCACCATCCTGCCAAAGTGTCTCAACTATGACCTGGAGGAAACGCCTCAAAGGGTGGAGAAACGCAGACACACTATCCGTGCTCATTCAGTCCTTGCTCTGTGCTCAAACTGCCAGTAAAAGGTGCTAACTAGTGCAAACTGTGGTGATGACTTTTCTTTTTAATATTGGAACCTTTCTTCTAGCCAGGAACGAGACAGAGACAACCAAATACGCTTCATGTAGGTCACCAGACTACTCTCAGGCCAGGTCTATACTACAGACCTAGAGCGACATAATTATACCGCTAAAGGTGGTGAAAAATTCACCCCTCTGAGCGACATAGTTATACCGACCTAACCCCCCATATAGACAGTGCTATGTCAGCAGGAAAGCTTCTCCTGCTGACATAGCTACCCCCTCTCAGAGAGGTGGATTAACTACGCTGACAGGAGAAGCTCTCCTGGCAGCATAGGAGTGTCTTCACTAAAGTGCTACAGTGAAAAAGGGCAGCTGAAGACAAACCCTCGGTCATTAGCAGCACAAACTAGCTTCTAGCTAGTGACCTAGACGTGTCAGACATTGTATTCCAGTATCGTCTTCCTGAGCTATCCATTTTCAGTTGTCCCTTCTAGAAAAGTCCCAAACAATGTAATAGGGACAAAACCATTAGTCTCCACTGAAATTTTCTACTGAAAAGATTCTAAAACCCTTTAATTTTACAGAAAATTGTACTAACTCTAGAGGATTTTGATATTTTTAAACTATCCTATAAAGTTCTCTTGTAAGGATATGTAATTGCCTATTAAATTCTATGAGATGGCTTAAAGAGCCTAGAGAAAAGTTATCTATTAAATACTATAATACTTTTTGATAAGATTTTTTAAATATTCTTTATTTGTAGGATGACAAACATTCTGCAATAGCTAGAAACAAACCTGTTTGCAATTTAGCCTTTTGTTCTCAAATTTGCAGTGGAAATGCCTTTAGTTAATAAAAGCTTGGTGGATATTTATGAACAGCTGGATGCAATTCAAGTATTTGGTTTTAATTCAAGACAATAGGAGGAAGCCAAGAGAAAAACTGAAGACATGGAGATGAGGAAGGCTAGCTTAGAAAACACACAACCTGATTCATGCCAAGTGAGAGGTTCACAGTGCGGTCAGAGAAATGCCCTATTACTACTACTAATTCTTTCTATTACAGTGGCACCCAGAGGCCCTAATCATGACATGCTCAAGGTTCCATAGTGAAAGGCACTGTATAGAAAGACAAGATCCCTGTCTTGAACAGCTTACAGTCTAATTTAAAATGAGACTAGAAGCGAGCATAACAAACAGGAAGGAGATCCTGAGGGACGGAAGATGGAGGCAATAGTGATAATGACACACGATTATGCAGACTAATCATGAGAACATCTTGAAGGCTGATGTTTCATAAACAGTTTATACCACGGGTTGCCAACCTGTGGCTCTGGAGTCACATGCAGCTCTTCAGAGGTTAATATGCGGCTCCTTGCGTAGGTGCTGACTCCGGGGCTGGAGCTACAGACGCTAACTTTCCAATGTGCCGGGGGGTGCTCAATGCTCAACCCCCTGCTCTGTCCCAGGCTCTGCCCCCACTCCACCCCTTCCCCCAAGGCCTCTGCCCCTTCCCCCAAGCTTGCCATGCCCTTGCTCATTTCTCTCCCCACCCCCGAGCCTCCTGTGCACTGCAAAACAGCTGATCGCAGCAGGTGGGAGGCGTGGGGAAGGAGGGGGAGGCACCGATTGGTAGGGCTGTCGGCTGGAGCTGGGGAAGCTTATGGGGGCCTGCTGACGTATTACTGTGGCTCTTTGGCAATGTACATTGGTAAATTCTGGCTCCTTCTAAGGCTCAGGTTGGCCACCTCTGGTTTATACCCGTGGATATGAAGATGGTGGATTGTAGAGAACAGGAACCTGACAGAAATTACTTCAGTGAATTGATACATGAGGGACATTTAGTTTTTTTAACTACAACTTGATTTGCTCTTTTCCTCTCCTTTAATAGTGCCAGCAAATTTAATGGAGATTTTATTAGCTCTTATATATTATCCCTTAGCACTGTAACTATTATCAGTAATTAATCCTCCTCACCCGAGAAAGCTGTGCACATTTTTTAATGGAAGGGTATGCACTTCAGTGTTAATGTGTAATGAAAATTGACAACATATGTCAATATCGCTCAACTGTACCTCAGTAGTGAGGTACACTACACATTGTAGACTCATTTATCCCCATCCCACACAAACTGGTGAAATCTCACTGTTAATTATAAAATATTAACAATAGGAATGGCAGATCAGGAAAATGAGTTATAGAAAAATTTGAGCTCTGCTAAAACCAGTAAACATATACAGCATTCAAGATAACCTGTAAAGCAGGTCAGTAATATTCCATCATTTCAAACATGCCTCCAAGAGTCATTAGGGCAAGACAACACATAAGCTAAAAGTCACCTACTTCATATGTAAAGTCTTGTGACATCCAGATTTGCCACAGATCTACTGACTTCTGCCACTCCTAGCTATGCCTCAGGTTAGTAGAATCTAGACAGTAGAATTCTAGTAGACCCTAGTATTTCAACAGAACATGGAGACAGCCTATAGGGAACAGAGACTTTGGGGGTGGAGGGGGTCCCCTCAAGTTCCCTTCAGACCCCACTTCAAATCCTCGTACTGTCTTTCTCTCCCCTCAGCCGATGCCCAAGGGGTTCTTGGAGCAAACAAACAAACGAAGAAAAGTCCTCTCCCCTCTTTCTTCCCTTATAGGGGAGAGGAGACTATAGAAAATTGAAAAGACATAAGGGTGACCTGGAACTTAGGCAGTCTTCCTGGGTCAGCCCTTAGATCTTAATCTACCCGAGGTCCACCTCCAGCCCCTCCTCATAAGGTGTGCTGCTCTGAGGCTGGGCCGTGCAGCTTCAGAGAAGTGAGACTTATTGCTGTTTCCCTTTGGGCAGCATGACAAAGTTCCTCCTCTACCTTGGTGGGTCTTGCGCTTATTGGCGGATTTGCTTGCCTTGGAGCTTCACGGCAGCCCTCAGCTTGGCCATTTTTCTGAACCCACAGTCCAGTTCAACGACTCCTGTGTCTGACCACGAGTTGGGAGGTTTGTGGGGAACCTGAGCCCGCCCTCTACTCTGGGTTCCAGCCCAGGGCCCTGTGGAATGCAGCTGCCTAGAGTGGTCCTGGAATAGGCTGTGCAAAAGCTACAACTCCCTGGGCTACTTCCCCAGGGCCTCCTCCCAACACCTTCTTTATTCTCACCACAGGACCTTCCTCCTGGTGTCTGATAATGCTTGTACTCCTCAGTCCTCCAACAGTCCGCATTCTCACTCTCAGCTCCTAGTGCCTCTTGCTCCCAGCTCCTCTCACGTGCACCACAAACTGAAGTGAGCTCCTTTTTAAACCCAGGTGCCCTGATTAGCCTGCCTTAATTGATTGTAGCAGCTTCTTGATTGGCTGCAGGTGTTCTAATCAGCCTGTCTGTCACAATTGTCTCCAGAAGGTTCCTGATTGTTCTGGAAACTTCCCTGTTACCTTACCCAGGGAAAAGGGACCTACTTAACCTGGGGTTAACATATCTGCCTTCTATTACTCTCCTGTAGCCATCTGGCCCAACCCTGTCACAGCAGGCTTGTCTCAGCTGTCTGGGCCGGGGCAACCTTCCCCCTGTTCACATCCCCCGCCCTCTTTCCTGTGGCAGGTTTTCCCTTTTGAACATCCACGCCCCCAACCAGCTCCAGAACAAGCCTTGCAGGTGTGCCTCATTGGTGCTGAACAGGCCCAGAGGAGCTTATTACTCCCCTCTTTGTCAGTGTACAGGTGTGCTCCTTCACAGAGACATGCTGCTGCTCCTTTTTTTAAAAAAAAAAATAATTATTTTTTGGTTCTTCTTTAGCATTTTCCCTTTAAGCATAACTAAAAATGAATATTTTATCAAGCTACATTGAGAGGTACTACTCAGCTTCTAGCTAAATCTTTGTCTCTTACTAAAAAAGGCTGTTCTGGGTGACTGATGAGTTTCTGAAATGGTACAGGAATATCACAGCCTCACCTGGGTGAAGGTAATCTGGCAGTAAGGTCTCCGGCAGCGTATCTGGCAATGGATAACCATTCTTCCTAGCAACAATGAGGTGAAATGCAGCACAGAATTCTGGCAGCGTCAGCGCTCCATCACAGTCTACATCGCTCAGCTCCCTGTGAACATGGTATTCACATATTTTTTGAGCCACTGCAGGAATGAAGCATATACATACACACACACACACACACACACACAGTATATCCTTTATGTAAAAAGGTAACAATTCCCAAGTAAGTGGAATTTTTTTTTAAAAATACTGTATTTTTTTTAAACATTTCCCTTTGAGAAGTGGAACAACCTGACTTTCCAATACTAGGAAGATTTTATATGGGAAAAAAGTGCTTTCTCTTTATGCCACATCATCCAATATTTTCTATCTGGTATTTCAAAAGCTGAAATTTGTCAAGAAATTACATTTGAGTATCCAAATTCAATCTCTCTTTCCGAAATGGTGTTGACAACAGTTCGGTTGGTCTATGCTAGCACTTAAACCCTATTCGGTAATGTTTCAGGCAGACTGATCAATGCAAACAGTTTTCAGAAAGTGCTTAATTACCAAGTGTAGACTGGCCTTAAAAGCTGCACAGCCGGATTGACTAATGCTGGTGGCAGTTTGGAATGTTAGCGTTAAACAGCCCGTTAGCACTGCTGTCAGTTTAGTTTTAGGGCATGGCTACACTTGCAGATGTAGAGCGCTTTGAGTTAAACCAGCCTTCAGAGAGCGCAGTACGGAAAGTGCTGCAGTCTGTCCACACTGACAGCTTCAAGCGCGCTGGCGTGGGCACATTTGCAGCACTTGCAGCGACATTGGGAGCGGTGCATTGTGGGCAGCTATCCCAGCATGCAAGTGACTGCAACATGCTTTTCAAATGGGGGGTGGGGGGTGGGGTGGAGTGTGACAGGGAGTGTGTTGTGTGTATGTGGGGGGAGAGAGACTGGGTTTTTGGGGGCTGAGAGCATGTCAGTATGCTGTCTTGTAAGTTCAGACAGCAGCAGACCTCCCCCCTCCCCACCTCTCTCTCTCTCTCACACAGCATTCCACACTAATGGCTTGCTTTGTCTCGAAGCAGATAAGCAAGCCAGCTGTCAGAAATGGAGCTTTCAAAGGGCATATCCGCATTCCTGCAGCAATTCAAAAATAATGACAAGACTGGCCACTTGACTTAAGGGAATTATGGGACATGTAGAACTGATCAATGAAATTGTTTTTAATTGTTCACTTTATTACTGTAACTTCATAAGCAAAGTTTTATGAATGAAACAACAACTCGCTAATTGAGTTTCACCCTTTAATCCAATTGCTGCTTAAATCACTGAAATTTGCACTGTTTCAACCTTGTAACTTCTGCTCACTGTTTGCCATTCCTTACACTTGTCCATATTATAACTCAAACTCCATTTTAAAATGCTCACTCCATTTTTGCAAAACCCTGCTGTAATCTTATTAGTTTAGTTTACACGTGTGAATGAGGTATGTATGGATGATGGAATCAACCTCCAGCCCCAGCCTGTCCTAATGAAATAAAGTGTAAACACCCAACGGCTGAAGATGCAGACAACAGCCCTGACAAAGTAGGAGGAGTCCACCCTCAAAAGAAAAGAACAAAAGTACAATTGAAGAAACATCAAAGCCAGGTCCTAGGCTGAAAGTCATGTCTGCAATTGATGGGTAATCAATCACACCGAACCCAGAGGCAGTGTGACACAGCAAGACCTATAGACTCTGGATTCAAACTAAAGCCTACAAAAAGGATGGATGAGATGAAAGACTTTGGAGGGTAACATTCTGCTGCCAACATGGAAGGGCATCGGTGCATGCCCAACAGAGACCCAGCTCTTCCTTGTGCCCAGCTTTCCTGGCCAGTTAGCCGCCACAAGCTACGAACCCAAGCCACGAACTCAAGCTACATTCAGGACTGGTAACTATACAACAGCTGCAGAACATGGGGGTGGGGGGGGTGTATACACATCGGTATTGGATATTAGTTAGTGGTCATAAATCAAATTGTGTTGTAATAAACGTGACATCTTGTCTTGTCCCCTGAAACAATCCTGTGTAGTTTTGTCTGCATAACAGACGTTTTCAGAGGCTGATCAGAACACAGTAATGCAACACCTCGTTCACACTGGTGCCGCGGCGCTCCAGCGGGGCCGCAGCAAACATTAGTCCACTCGCCAAGGTGGAGTACCAGCAGCGCTGTAGCCGTGGAGTCAGAGCCATTATGTGCCTTGCCAGTGAGCTAATGCGCCCGGGGGCTCCTTCATTGCACTGTAACTCGCCACTGTAGCCAAGCCCTTAGTTTAAGCGTCAAACAACAGCAGAGGAATTCAGAAGCACATGAATACAGTTTCATAGCATACACTTTCTGGAAAATATTAGAATTCATTTAGTATTACTATAATGACTAAAATAGAGCAATAGTTACTTCATCACTGTTTGAAAGTGAAGGGACAATGTTTCAAGCAGTCAAGGTTACAGTGAATAAAATTGAAATGCTTCTCAATTTTAGCAAAGGAGTTTTTGCCTGATGAATTATATCATGCAAGATTTCAAATTGCTCCTAGAAAGGAACATTTTATTTTGTTATGCTATACAGAGCACAATTAATGTTAGTAACATAAATAAAATGTTTTTGGTTATCATAGTGGGTTAACCAGTTTTTCTTAAATAACTTTTAAATTAAATTCCAGTGCTTATTTTTCTCCAGAGAATGTTTCTTTAGCCCTTTTTTTTTCATGATTCACAACTTGCTTTGAAACTATTCCAGGCAAATTCTCTGAACCCAACAGATGTTTGGGCTCTTGCAAGCTTTTCTTAAAATCTGTCTTCATAAAAGTATATAGATAAAGTGAAATAAAAGTTCTCTTTATCAGCATTTTTGGTGAATGTTTAGAAAAGTTTGTTCCTCATGTCAAGATAGGATGACGATACAAGAACCATTATGCTTATGGAAATACAACAAGATCCTTATAAACTGTATTATATACAATGCCATCTGCAATGGTCTCTAAACAAACTCATTAAAAGCAAGAGTGCTGGCTTGTTAATAAAGCACTGATGAATTATGCAGATGTATTATTAAAAATTAGGTATTAATTAGGCCTCATCTGACAAATCACAGCCAGATACATAAAGCTAACTGAACACATCTAAAATATTCCAAATATGTTTTTCTTCTAAATCATTTCATGAAATATGTCTGTTCATTGAGCTAATGATGTTTCTTATAACATTCTTAAGAACAGCTATCATTTATATTGCTATTGAAATATCTGCAGTCCTGCTGAGTAGAAGAGTAGCTCTAAAAAGGTAACAAGCATGCCAGGAGGATCAACACACACCCTGCTGCTTGGACCTGAAAGTGATTTTGATAAGAGCAATAATTATAATTACTCAAAGCTTACGCTCTAATAAATTTGTTAGTCTCTAAAGTGTCACAAGTACTCCCGTTTGGGGGTTTTTTTGGGGTGGTTTTTTTTTTTTGAATTACTCTAAAGACAGTATTTTAATCTAACAAGAACTCTTGAGCTAAAATGTCTTTTAAAACCAGCATCCATATTCTCAGTTACTCTACAGTACTCACCATATGTGAGAAAGCTCTGGGATGGGAAGCTTGGATTTTGTGAAGAAATTCTTAGCCACGGAACCTGTCAAGAACAGTGAAACAGTCATTTGAAAGGTTTCAGAGGGGTAGCCGTGTTAGTCCATATAAGCAAAAACAATGAAAAGAATGGAAACCTTGTGGAACCTTAGAGACTAACAAATTTATTTGGGTATAAGCTTCCGTGGGCCCACAAAAGTTTATGCCCAAATAAATGTTTTAGTCTCTAAGGTGCCACAAGGATTGCTTGGCATTTGATATTCATCTTCCAATCTGATTTTGCTTGTGTTTCTATAAAGCTGCAACAGCATCAGCAGCTGGTTATTTCACATTCAACAGACACTTTGATTGTTGGGAATGAGTATAGCTGCTTGGCCATTTGTCTCTTGGTGAGTAACTAACATGGGACAGGCCAGGCAGAGTGGTTGACCTCATTTCTCCACTTCTCTCCATGTGGGAAAAATATTAATGGATGAAAACATGCCTCAGTATTACCATTATCATCACCAGTATGCCATTATGAATACAAAGAAAGGAAAATGGAGATAAATGGCTTCCTTTCCAGAGAAAAGGATGCTTCTAATCACATGCCAAGTATATGGCAGCAAATGGCCCTCTGCCATCTGTGCTACTCCCACAATGACTTTCTCTGCTTTCAGGCCTGCTGCGGCCCTACCATCATGAAAGAAAAACAAGAGGAACCAGCTAAGCATCCTGCTACAATCTTCACTACCAGTTGTGAACATCCTCCATAGCCCTCCCATAATAAGCAATCTGATTTCCCTCCCAGCCAACAAACCCCTGCTGAGCCCTTTGCAGTGATAAGAAGTTCACTACACATCCCACACAGCCAGCTGCCCAACACTGTCTCATGCAAATAGGCTACAGGGGTAGCAAAAGTCTGCTGTAGATCCTTGCACATTTTACTTCACAGAAGCCTGAAAAACGTAAGGCCAACCCCATTCAGAGCCATTATATACAGATCTATAATTCTGCCTCCCACTACAGTTAATAGTAAATCTGGGTGTGCATGACATGCAATGTCTGGCCCTATGAGGCTCTCTCTCGGAATAGATAGAGCAAACATCTTGCATATTTTAAAGACTGCATTCTATTATAAACAAAGTTGACTATATGCAGCTTTGTGGGAAATCTACTATGTGTTGAACTTCCATTTTCTTTTCCCTTCTACTAGGAAGAACAGTTGGAGAAGATTTAACCAAGGGGAAAAAAACTGATGAAGTGCTAATTTCTGCCAAGATCAAGCAATTATTTTAAAACTTTTGTCTGGGGTCAGAATTCCTGAATCCCAAAGTACTGGATTGCAATAATATAACCTCAGAGGACATAGTCAAAATGCCTGTAGTTAAAATCTGTGTTTTTTCCTTGCCAGACTAACTGTCAGTACCTAGAATAACTCCTCTCACAAGCAGTCTGGCCAGAATGAAAATCTGATTTTTAAGATCAGTTACAACACTGTTACCATGTGTGTGCTATGCAGGGTTTACATTTAACCGCTTAAGGGCCAACAACTCAATCTTACATAGTGCTGAGCATCCTGATATGATCCTGTAGAACAGTTAAACAGATACTTAACTTTAAGCACCTAAGCAGTCCCACTGACTTTAATAGGAAAGTAGTTAAGTATATTCTTGTGTTTTTATGGATCAGGCCAGAGCTTGGCACTTTGCAGGACTGAGCCCCAAATACTGTCTTCAGATTCAAACAATTTATTTTAACTTTTTGTCCTGTAACTGCAGATGCTTTCCTGAAGTTCACACTGAATTTTTAAAGTGTGTTTCAACTCTGAAAAATTAGTATGCAAAACTCACACATTCTTCCTCAAAAGATCTACTCCCAGTGTGTGTTTAGAATCATATTGTCATAAATATAAAGGGAAGAGTAAACCCCTTTGAAATCCCTCCTGGCCAGGGGAAAGCTCCTCTCACCTGTAAAGGGTTAAGAAGCTAAAGGTAACCTCGCTGGCACCTGACCGAAATGACCAATGAGGAGACAAGATACTTTCAAAAGCTGGGAGGAGGGAGAGAAACAAAGGGTCTGTGTGTCTGTCTGTATGCTGGTTTTCTGCCGGGGATAGACCAGGAATGGAGTCTTAGAACTTTTAGTAAGTAATCTAGCTAGGTATGTGTTAGATTATGATTTCTTTAAATGGCTGAGAAAAGAATTGTGCTGAATAGAATAACTATTTCTGTCTGTGTATCTTTTTTGTAACTTAAGGTTTTGCCTAGAGGGGTTCTCTATGTTTTTGAATCTAATTACCCTGTAAGATATCTACCATCCTGATTTTACAGGGGGGATTTCTTTATTTCTATTTACTTCTATTTTTTTTATTAAAAGTCTTCTTGTAAGAAAACTGAATGTTTTTTCATTGTTCTCAGATCCAAGGGTTTGGGTCTGTGGTCACCTATGCAAATTGGTGAGGCTCTTTATCCAACATTTCCCAGGAATGGGGGGGGTGCAAGTGTTGGGAGGATTGTTCATTGTTCTTAAGATCCAAGGGTCTGGGTCTGTAGTCACCTAGGCAAATTGGTGAGGCTTTTTACCAAACCTTGTCCAGGAAGTGGGGTGCAAGGTTTTGGGAAGTATTTTGGGGGGAAAGACGTGTCCAAACAGCTCTTCCCCAGTAACCAGTATTAGTCTGGTGGTGGTAGCGGCCAATCCAAGGACGACGGGTGGAATATTTTGTACCTTGGGGAAGTTTTGACCTAAGCTGGTAAAGATAAGCTTAGGAGGTTTTTCATGCAGGTCCCCACATCTGTACCCTAGAGTTCAGAGTGGGGGAGGGACCTTGACACATATCAATTAATTTTAGTGACAAATATATATTTCTTTTATTTTTGTATTTCTCTTAGCCCTGCAGCCACCACAGCTGAGAGAAATAGTTGGACTCTAGTCCTCCTTGTGCATCATAAAAAGATTTTTTTGTTGTTGCTAAATTCCAGTCAACGACACTTGTATAAACTCTCTGAAGACAGTTGGGTTGCAAAGTTGTAAGTGAGGACAGCATTTGTCCTGCAGAACATTTATTTCTGATGATGACACACAAGAAAGAATTAACTCAGCTTGGCTCTCAGATCCCAGGGTGAGTTTGCAGGGCTAGCAATTAAGAAAAAATATTTTACCTGTAAACAGAGAGCATGTGGTATTAAAATACACATTTAACCTGTAACCCATTTTAGAGTCATCTTTAACAGCAGAACCACGAATTTTTAAAAATTCTTCAAAGAAACTATTTGTTACCCACTGTATTATTTTAATGCTTTAATTCAGTGATTCAGTGGGTCACAGGAAGATTGTAGATGGGTTGCGGGCCTAGGGTTGCAGGCCCTGGGAGAGAGAAAGAGGATTTGGAGGGCGAGGCGTTTGAGTATATGGCGTTGTGACCTGGGTTAGGGTTGCAGTGCTGGGTGAGCGGGTGCTGGATGCAGGTAGTTGCTGCCCCCTCAGTGGGGCAAGGAGAAGGCAGCAGAGGAGAAGAGGGTTGCTGGCCTATATTTTTGGGCACCCCCAAGAATTTGAACACTGGGTGGGTAGCAAAAAAGAGACAAAATGCAGTGGGTAGGATGGTAATTTTTAAAAAAGTTGTTACTCTAAAAAACAAATAAATAAATAAATCGACCCTGTCTGGGGCACAAACCTGATCTAAAGATAACTCAAGAAGCTCTCCCTTTATCTACTGTACTTTGCTTTAATTTTCAGGCCTTTCATCCTGGTTGTTTTGCTGCACATATATATTATTTAGTAAATGTTACCTGAAATGAAAGAGTTCAGATCAGACTGTAGGGATTTGAACTGGTTGATGTAATATTCTCGCTGTTCCTCAGTTATCCTCCAGGGGTCATCTGGGTAATTACTGCTGTCCTGTGGCTCCCTCTCTACTGAAAGAGACTTCAAAGACAGGGAAAAAAGTCACTTGCAAAACTGCGTGAAAAAGCAGCATACACAGACATTTTAAGAAGTAAGGGTCAGTCTGCACATCTAGCAGGCCCATTTTTTAAAGAAATGGGAGCAGAAAGGCTCAAGCTGATTAATATCTCTTATAGTTAGGGCTTATTATACATGTCCATTTGCTCAGAGAACTACAGGAAGTTTCACATGAATGAAGCTAAAATAAAAAACAAACCCAACTACTGTTGAAGGCAGAAAGATCACTCCATCTAGTCATGCATTAAGATCTATCGCCTCATATTGGTGTTTTATATTGCACCCATCACCAAAGCATCTGAATGCCTTCCACATAAAATAGATAGCAACAGTGAAGTCCCGAGTGAACTCAATTTGGTCACTGGAATGTCTCCATTGGGGGGACACTGATTAGATAAGTTTTTTTTTTAATTGTATTTATTTACTTTTTTTTTAAGATTGATTTGTATAAGGTTGTGTTTGTTTGTTTGCATTGAATGTTGTGAGCATCACTCTTATGGTGGAAAGAAGCAAACATTTAAAATGCGTTGACCTGCGTGTCAAAATATTTTAGCGACAGAATGTAGGAAAGAATAAGCTACATGCTCCAGCAAAGTTTAAGACCACTCCTCTGGCCAGACTGTCAACGTGCTCAAACTCAAATATGTGACTTTGTTTTAAAAATGTGTTAAAAGATCCTCAAAACAGGAAATATCACAAAATAGTACTTTGTGCTGGTTTGAAATTATGTGAGATTTATTGGTTTAAAAGACATGATGTTTTAGATACATGTTTCCCATGAATCAGCTGAGGTTTTCCTATGTCAAAAAAAAAAAGTTAACCATTGATTTTAAAAAAATTAAATTCCTGAGGTTATATTATTTCAAGCCAAAGTCTACAGTTCAATAAACATTTTAAAACTGTTTAATATTAACGAGACCATAGTTTAGAACAGCTTAAAAACCTAGGTTTCAAAGTAGCAGCCGTGTTAGTCTGTATTCGCAACAAAAAAAGGAGTACTTGCGGCACCTTAGAGGCTAACAAATTTTATTTTTTTTACTCCATACGGCTAATTTGTTAGTCTCTAAGGTGCCACAAGTACTCCTTTTCTTTTTAAAAACCTAGGTCACTCTTCCATAGAGCAAAGTTTGTAAAAATTCATGGAGAAGTTTTGCTCTGTAGTAGACGGACATGGGGAACAAAAAAACGTGACTGGTGATTAAAAAACAACCCTAATAGTCATGTGGCTTTATTCTCATTTGTACTAAGACCCTTTTACAAAGTGCTGATGTGTAAACGTGTAATTCATACCCACTTTGAGGCACCTTTACACTCCAGAGCAGTGTAACAGGGCCTTGGCATAAATGAGAATCAGGCTCATAGTCTTATTCATGAAACCAGTGGCAATTCACAATGGCTTTGTCTACACTAGGCTTTTTTTTCCTTAAAATTATTATCCACCATTGCTGCCATTGGTGAGGTAGTATGGACAGGCCACTGGTAACATTTGGCATTTCAACCGCCATGTCATCTAGATTTGCTCTTAGCACGATTAGACAACTCGGTGACTAAAAATGCCAGTGGTCAATCTGGCCTATACAAATTCCCCCACAGTTGGTTCTACTGGTGAAGCTGCACCATTAGTTACCATGGTGAGAAATCTGAAGAAATATATCTAATGTATATCTTACGCAGCCAACAAGATAAACAGAGTGTGCAAAATCCAACTAAAAAAATACTCAGAAGAACCAGGACTCTGGGCTTGTAACTCAAGTATGCGGTATCTTATCAAAAACATTTTTGTGGTCATGAAATTTTCATCAAAGTTGGACTCAACATTCAGTACACTATTTGGATTCTTGAGAAGCTTGAAGTATTTTTTTTATCAAAAAGCCTCTTTTTTTTTTTTAAATCAAAAAGCCATTTTGCATTGAAGAGTTTTGATTAAAAACATTTGACTAGATCTAGTAATTAATCTTCCTAAAGCTCTTTAAGATCCAACATGGAAAGACTTTAGAAAAATATCATCATCATCAAGGCCGATGACAGGCCACAAAGTTATTTTACTTTACTCCTACACGTTTGGCCTGAATTCTCCATACACACCAGGCAGGATTTCCTTATGGTGTGCTGCTTCCTTTTTTATTTTCTGCAGCAGCTGAGTTGTGGAAAAAGGGTAATTGCCTTAAACTGAAGCAGAGCAACCGTCGAACAAAGGAGGCAGAGGAGGAAGAGAAGCTGATAGGTCAAAGGCCAACCCCGTCTGTCTTCATTAGTGTCTTTGATCCCCATAATGCTACATTCTACAATTCTCCCATGCATACTACTTTAGTTGAACAGCTATGTTATTTTGTGTAATTTCTACATAATCCTAGAAAAAATGGTGTCAGTACTGAAACAATGAAAACTATTGACCTTATTCAAACCAGCTGATCAAGCAAACATAGTCCCAGTTCTTCAAGGCAGTTTAAAATAGAATGCAAGTAGCAGAACAAAGAAGAAATAGAATATTACAGGTCAACCTACTCTGCTCCAGTTTAGAGCGCATTGTTTTCATAACTTCTGTCTACAAAAATATAGATATAGTTGGCAAGCTTTAAACAAAAGGAAGCATTCAAAATTATCCCTGGCTACTATGTGATGGAGCTCTAGATAGCCTTGTAGAATTCTTTTGGTGCAGAATTATTGAAATGCATAAATGGAACACTGACAAATAGGTTTTACAGTGCACCATATTTGCCTGAACAGGTAAAAAACATGAATACAACCTAATCAATATGGCGATATAAAAGATGAATAATTCTTGTAGGAGCTGCAGTCCATTGCGTACTAAGTAGACATGGGCTGGAGGGAGGGGGAAACTGACTCTGCTCGAAAAACCCGTTCCATCCCAAATCATCTATCCATGCCTCATGTTGTTCTTATGTTATGGGGTAGAGGGAGTGAGAGCACAGCCAAAAAATGGCCACTTACATTTAAAAGCAGTTCTGCTAGTAAGCATGGCAATATTTTACCTAAGGCCAAAAATCTGTGGCCGTAATAGGGAATTTACAATAGACAAATTAGAAAGTTTGCAGAGTTACGGTTTTGAAGCCAACAGGGAAACATTGGACCAGTTTAAGTAAAGCAAACAAAACATCCCACCTAAACTTCTTTATCAGGATTGGGATGATTGAGACAGTAAACTGGATTTACAAATTTGAATGATTTCCTACAGAGAAGCTGGATATCAGGTCATGGCAGTGTGAGGGTGTCAGGGATAACACACTAGATCAAGACAAAAAAAATCTCAATTAAATTCATATATATTAAAGATGTTTTTCTTGCATTATTAATAGCTTAAAATTCTTTCACTTCCGATCTAAGAATCTCAGTCTAATTTTCCAATATTTATGTTGTTTGCTTACATTTGAATTTCACTCAGCTTAAACAATGAAAATGAACTAGTCATTTTCAATTTGCTTTCCAGTCAGTTTTGCTTTATATTTCTCCTACACTAGAAGGATGCACCAATCAATGAGCTGCAAATACCAGAGGGGAGTGTTGTTATTTAAACAAACAAAACAAAAAAATCCAATGGAAGAATTTTTATATTTAAATTTCTGAAAACATTTGTATTCATGTTAAACTTTGTAAAATATAGTTTTTACAAAACCTAAATTTGGGCTTAGCTGAACCCCCCAGTCTTCCTTTCTGTTCTTACTTGCAAAATAAAGACCATATTTGCCTGGCAGTAGAGACTAGGAGGAAACCTTTGCAGAAGAGAAACAAAATGAAGATTATATAAAGTGAAAATAACAAAGAATACTTTACTCAACTAAAACTGCAGGGAGATTTTGGTCCAGGTTTATTCAAAATGGAACCTGTCTAGGTTACTGGGACTAATATCCCCACTTATTTCAAAAAGCACCACTACTAGGTGACAAGAACTAGAACTTCATGCATTTCTTTTTTTGTTTTATTCATTTATTTAATCACCATGCAATTCATTACCCGACTAAGAGAGGAATGTACACGTGCAGATTTGGATGCATAATTTCCCGTTGCTGGTCCATCTTGTTGTTGTGTAGAATGTCTAGCTTCATAAGGAACTATGAAAGTTTAAAAAAATATATATATATATGTATTATCAGACGAATCAATAAGGTTCCACAAGCTCAAACTGGAAATTAAGCATTACAACACAGAGGTTCATTAAGCTTAATACTATTGTACTACAGTCCATTCTGTCCCCTTACCCAAAGCCCTAACTACATGCTCTACTCCTATATCATAGTTTCTCTTCTTTAATATTTAGGCATTAACAATAGAAGTTGTCATTTCATCCTACCAGATTGGCATTAATTGCTTTAACAGTTGTTGAAATGCATATTTGCATGACAACCTGCAGCAGCCCTAAAATAAACTATTACAGTAAATCAGCTAACTAATGAATATAGTGAATTCTCAACTGTCATTTTCAAGAGATTTAGGTTTTTCACTTTTTTATTTAAATCTAATTTGTTTAAAGAGGACATTGTCAAGGAAGAGCATTAGACATTGATTTGATCTGTACAAAACTGTTGATTTGACTGTGGAAAATTCTCTGGATCCTAAATACCTGGGTTTTATGGTTGTTGATCATTCAATTGCCAGAACACTGAAAACAAAAACAATAAGCTTCCTACTTTTAGAGCCCCTTTAAACCCCAAAGTTTTTTGCTTCCTACCCTGTATATAGCAATCACACCCTTTTCTAGGAGATGTGCTGACATCAATAATGATTTTCTTATTCAAAAACAGATGCTTTCCAGAGAAAAGTTACTACAGGCCAAAGTTACTTTTTAACAAAATAGTCCCATACATTTCAAGTAAATTCAGCATTTCCAGAGTGGAAACAGAAAAGGGCTCTAATGGGCGATATTTCCAGGGTCCTAAGTATGTACTGCAAATACAGATAAGAAAATAATAGTTAAACTGAGCTATAAAAATTATGCACTTGTCAATGTCTAAATGTTCCACCCTTTAGCTTTGTCTTATGCACATTAAGAGGCAGAAGAGTAACTAGAATGCAAATACAGCAACAGTATAGTATGACAAACAACTGAAATGGCTGGTATTAGAACTGTTAATTTCCTCAGAAACCACACACACACACACAATCATCACTTCTTGATTTGAGACATAACTGATTGACAAGCAAATTCCAAACCTGATTTTTTTTTGCAGGTCATCAATAGGCCACTAACCTTGAATAGATCTTTTATTTTTAAAACCCAAATTTACATTTCAAAACAGAGAAGGCCTGATCCTGATGGGGTTGCAGGTGCTCAGCACTGCTCAGAATCTGGACTAGAGTTAGCAAAGAAAAGCAACAATAATTTCAATTTTCCTAAGGTGAGAAGACTTCCATTCCATCTGCATAATTTAAGAACAATCCTGTTTTTAATAAAGATAAATAATTAGACATAGAAGCAGGGCACGTTGGAGCTCTCTTTCAAATTGTTCTTTTGAAATCCAACTTCTTCTGCTGGAGTGTTCAAACTGTAGCACAGTCCTAATGCTATTCAGCATCATTTACACAAAATTTTAGAGTCTCCTGAAAAATGAAAATCAAGGAAACTCAAAATCTTACTATCGTTACAAAGCAGCTTGCTTTTTAAAGTTATGTTTCTAACTCTGATTGTTATCTATTCTTGTCCTGTGCTGGTATCTAGTTTTTTCCCTTACAAATGTGTTTCAATGTCAGAAAGAAGACAGGAAGGAAGTTGTGAAATATACTGCAGTACTTGGAGGCAGAGTATGGGGCTCTGTTGCTATGTGGTTACCAGCAACAGAACTTTCAAAAACTAGCAAGAAAATAAAATGCATGAATGCCCAGCTAAAGTTCTACTTTAGAGGGGTGGGCAAAAATTGAATGTTCAATGACCCTGGATTACTACTTTCTGAACACCACATAGAGTATAAACAGTACAAAAAAAAAGTTAACACCACACACGCATACACAAACCCAATGCTCTGTAGGCCCCTCCAGAATGGTATTCAGTGTCCTCAGTGCAATGGTTTCAATGAAACTGGGATGTTAACAGATTTTTTTTTTCTAGGCCAGAATGGACCAATTATTCATCTAGTCTGACATCCTGCATAACCCGGGCCATAGAATTTTATCCACTCACCCTTGTATTGAGACCAATAACTGGTGTTTGACTAAAGCATACCTTCCAGAAAGGCAACCAATCTTGATCTGAAGACATTAAGAGTCTTCACATTCAGACTGGATGCCTTTCTGGAGGCCATGTTTTAGTGCTCAGTGGGCTCACGGCCTCACAGGATTTTATCATCTTAACGTTTAGCTGCTTGTATTAATTTTCAGAAGAATGACACTCATGTTAGCCTTGATTCTACAACCCTTGCTCACTTTGAATAGCACCTTGCTGGAAGTATAAACTGGAGTATAAACTACTGTTCAAAGCAAGGTAAGCCAATAGAATGTGGGGCATTCAGCACTCATTACAAGAACCTGTGATCTGACTGGGGCAGGAGGGTAAGGGGGGAGTACGTGAATATAATGGATTGTGCCATAGAAAACAGAATCACTATTTCTCGTAATCTTACAGTTCCTGCTAACATTAATTCCTAGTGCACTGCATTATAATTGCAATCCAGGATGTGTCCTTCCTGTCCTGTGGCTGATAGATTTGGACAGGGCAGGTGTCGGTACAGTGGAAGGGAATTCCACCTGCAGTGCTTATTTTGAACATCAGAAATCACTGCTTTGTTAGGACTTACATGTGGATAACTAACATATCAATGTGGATGACAATCTACTTTCTAACAAGTGACTATCAGTCAGTACTAACATGAACCTTTAACTAGAAGTCCATTTGATTGCATTAGACCACTGATGTTTACCACCAGCACAAAATTTTACTTAATTAAAAAATTTTGTAAGAGCTCAGTTTAGTCAGTCACTTGTAACTGAGGACAACAGCTGAAGAACCAATACATCCCATTCATCATTCACAGAGAGCATGTTAACTCATGGTACCCACACTTAAGAGTTGGATGAGAAATGGTTTTCCTGTCCCACAAACATTTCCAAGATTTAGAAAATTCTCCCACTTCATATCAGGACTAAACCAAGATTTTTAATTTTTTTTTAAATGAAAATGAGAAAATGAGCCACCCACCCACCCCAGAAATGCCAAATGGTTAGGGGACTATCCTGGGGCGCGAGCGAGCCTGCCTGATTCGGAGCAGACACGTGAATGTGCGTCTGCCACAACACAGGAGAATGACGTGGCTACTGGTCTATTGGCTATTTTGGGATGGGTCTCGCTCAATCTCTTCTGTTGGAAAGATTATTATTAAATAGCCACTGGGCCAGTGACAGAGACTGACTCTAGAGCCTGTTTAGTAGGGCACTCATCGAGGATGTGGCAGACCCTGATTCAAGTCCCTACCCTGAAACAGCCAGAGCAGCAACTTGAACCTGGGTCATCCACATTTCAGGTGAGTGCCCCAACCAACTGGGTCTTCTGGGGTGGGTAGCATTCTCTTTGCTTTTGTTCAGAAATTCTATCCTGGACCTCATAAATCTTTTTAGCCTAACTGGATACCCATCCAATGTTTCAGTTTCAACAAATTGGAATTTTCCAACAAAAAATAGTTTTGGCTGAAGATTCCCAACCAGCTCTACCCACATCAGCTGTCCAGTCCCTTTGATGAAATGATGAAAGATTTTATGCTTTATCTGTGAGAGAGCGTCTATTGGACACTCACCATCATTCTTAATTATCATTTTATATTACAACAGTTGTTACAAGCCCCAGTCAAGTCTGGCACCCTATTCTGTTATAACCTGTTAAAACCTATATCCTCCAAGTACACCTCTACCCAGATATAATGCAGTCCTCAGGAGCCAAAAAATCTTACCACGTTATAGGTGAAACCGCGTTATATTGAACTTGCTTTGGCCTCGAGCATTTCCATTATTAATAGTCACTTCCCGCCCCCTGACTGACCCGTCAGAACCACCAACCCATCCAACACCCCTCCCACTCCCTGTCCCCTGACTTCCCCGACCCCTATCCACACCCCTGCCCCCTGACAGGCCCCCCCATCATTCCCACGCCCTGTCCAACACCCCTGTTCCCCGTCCTCTGACTGCCCCACCCCCAGAATCTCCAACCCATCCAACCCCCCCCCCGCTGCCTGTCCTCTGACTGCCCCGACCCCTATCCACACCCCTGCCCCCTGATGGGCCCCCCATGACTCCCACGCCCTATCCAACACCCCTGTTCCCTGTCCCCTGACCGCCCCCAGAACCTCCAAACAATCCAACTCCCCTGTTCCCTGTCCCCTGACCGCAACCCCAAGACCCTCTGACCCTTATCCAACCCCTCAACACTGGCCCAGCCCCCTTAACATGAGCAGTGTGTCGGAGCCAGACATGCTGACGCGCTGATCCACCGGAACGCACAGCCCCCCCCCGAGCACTGCTTTACCGCGTTATATCCGAATTCGTGTTATATCAGGCCACGTTATATCGGGGTAGAGGTGTACTCAGATCAATGAGAGTTATGCTACTGACTTTAATGGCAGCATGATCAACCCCAAAGCGTCTAAATTGTGGTCATTTGTTTTCTTCTGGGTTCCCATTACACTGGGTTTTTACATTTACACCTTACTGTTATTTTTGTTATGTAACCAGGAAGACCATTGTTCTTCCTTGCAAACAAATCCCCACTGTAAATCTGAAAACTAGTACAGCAGTTATTGAAATCAGGAATGGTTTTTTTTCTTAATATTAAAAAACATGCTTATGCACTGAAACATTCACAGTATTCAATCACTAACATATACTGCACATAGGCTTGCCAAAAATGTGGTAATCAGCATTAATTTGTGAACAGTTGCACACAAATCTACACATGATCACTAATTTACTGGAAAGAAAATAGGAAGAGAGGACTAAATCAGAAAGCAGAGCTTCTGCATAAAATAAAAAAAGATGGTCAGATCATTTACTAAAAGACAGATGTAATTAAGTCCAGGCATTATTAGGCTGATTCCTTAATTGCATTTGAGATTTGAAGGCACTGAAGGGAAAAAAACAACAGTGTATGACTTGTGCATCCCAGATTTTATCCTACCTCCATGTGGCTGTTCAAGCCCACTCCTTGACCTGCCATAGCCATAACTCAAGGGTATTCTCTGGTAATTAGATGGAGAAGCAGGAGGTGAACACATCGGTGACATGGGGGGAGACTTGGTTTCCTGCTTCAGAAACAACAAAATGGAATTCTGAGGTGACTACAGAAATAGGTGGAGTAATTCTGCATACCAGTTCAATCACATACAGCATGATGTGCAAGGCATAGTAATAACTGACAAATTCTCGTGCCCCTATTTCCAAAAGAATTGTGACTATAAATGGAAGATGGCAAAGTGATGCTTTGATGTTGAGCCTTGTTCTGGGGATAAAATACAAGAGTAGTCATCCCAAGGGGTTAGAATGAACTCTAAGACATTTTACTTGCATGTGTGTCTGGATCAATATTTTTGTTAAATCTTATTATTACTGGGTATCTTTGGATTTACATATTGTATTTAGGTGCTTGAATGCATTCTCCATTTAAGAAAATACTTTTCATTTCAGAAGAAGGCAAAAAATGAAAAATAACTAAAAGCACCAATTCAAAGATTTATTTTAAATATTCTGGGAACTGCCTTTGTGAGAAGCAGATTTGTAGATATTCTCAGATCTAACTTGGAGTTTGTTTCCTTTTTCCTTGAGGATTGAGCTTTGGTAGAGGACACGGTCCTGAAATAAATTTACTAAATAAACAGAAAAAATATTACTTCACAGTGCAACACCAAGGCAATAAAAGTCACCTAGGAAGAGTTATAGGTTTGGTGGCAATGCTCTACTAGAATGAAATTATTTAGAGAAAACAGATATTTGCAACCTTATTTCCAATTTCATTATTCTACATGTGCATACCCTATTGACTCATTAATAATGGTTAGTCTCAGGCAAAGTTTGTTATTCATAGACTCATAGAATCTCAGGGTTGGAAGGGACCTCAGGAGGTCACCTAGTCCAACCCTCTGCTCAAAGCAGGACCGATCCCCAACTAAATCATCCTAAAACATCCCACATCTGATCATCCCCAACTAAATCATCCCGTGTGTGCATGTGCTCTACAGATAATATACACTGCCTGCCCCAAGTAGCTTACTGCACAAAACATGATACAAGATGAGAAGATGTCAGGCAAGGGAAAGGGTCATGCAAACAACAGAAGCTGTGAGATTGCTTGGTTTTATAAACATGTAAGCATCACACATTCTCAGTTTTTATAGATTCAGACAATATGGATCTCTTTATGATACAGCTATTTTTAATTAGGAATTCAGAAGGCCAGAGTGGCAGCAGGATTTGTTACTGGAAGAATATTTCACTGAGGGTGAATTTCCAGAACACTAGCCTGGTATCACCGCAAAGGAGATTAGAGGGGAAAGAATATGGTAGGTTTCCTCAGTCCAAAAACAAGGAGTTGTGATGATAGCAGACCAGTTGCCAGCTCATGCCAAAGCCCTAGGCCTCAACTGGAGGCTGACAAATACATAACTGGAACCGGTCTGGCTCATCCATGTGTTAGTATTGTTAAAATAGGTAGTAGAGTTATAAATATGTGGTTTGTGTTTAGACTTCACAGAACACTTGTAAACTGCTGCATCCATTAATCTCACTTGTTATATCTGTATCCAATGTCATAAGGTAATATTTAACTGTAAATCACCAGTCACAGTACACAGGAGAGAAGCATTACCAAGTGTGAAATACTACAGGAGGTGTTATCTCCTGCCAACAAAAGAAGGCTCATAATCACCAAACTAACCATAGGAAACGTCAGAAGACAAAAGATTTTGTTGATTGCTCCCCTCCCCACATGAATAGTAGCTATGCAACTGAATTCCTCCTAGCTGAACTTGGAACTTGACAGGATAAGGAATAAAAGGCCCTAACAAGGAGAAACTGTGGGTATGTCTACACTATGAAATTAGGTCGAATTTATAGAAGTCGACTTTTTAGGAAGCGATTTTATACAGTCGATTGTGTGTGTCCCCACTAAGCGCATTAAGTCGGTGGAGTGCATCCACAGTATCGAGGCTAGCTTCGACTTTTGGAGCGTTGCACTGTGGGTAGCTATCCCACAGTTCCTGCAGTCTCCGCCACCCATTGGAATTCTGGGTTGAGCTCTCAATGCCTGATGGGGCAAAAACATTGTCACGGGTGGTTTTGGGTACATGTCGTCAGTTGCCCATCAGTCCATGAGAGCAACGGCAGACAATCGTTTCGCACCTTTTTCCCCATGCAGACGCCATACCACGGCAAGCGTGCAGCCCACTCAGCTTAGCCGCTGCCGTTGTGTCCTGGGTGCTACTGGCAGCAGATGGTGCAGTAGGGCAGCAAACCATTGTCATGGAACCACCAAACGACCGCTTCCGCAGCCACTCTGCTCTCCTGCAGACTCCATACCACGGCAAGCATGGAGCCTGCTCAGATCACCGAAGCAGTTATGAGCGCTGTAAACACCTCACACATTATCCTGCAGTATATGCAGAACCAGAAACTGCAGAAGCGGGTGAGGAGGTACAGTAGCATGGTGATGAGAGTGATGAGGACATGGACACAGACTTCTCTCAAAGCACAGGCCCCGGCAATTTGGGCATCATGGTGGTAATGGGGCAGGTTCATGCCATTGAACACCGATTCTGGGCCAGAGAAACAAGCACAGACTGGTGGGACCGCATAGTGTTGCAGGTCTGGGATGATTCCCAGTGGCTGCGAGACTTTCGCATGTGTAAGGGCACTTTCATGGAACTTTGTGACTTGCTTTCCCCTGCCCTGAAGAGCAAGAATACCAAGATGAGAGCAGCCCTCACAGTTCACAAGCGAGTGGTGATAGCCCTGTGGAAGCTTGCAACGCCAGACAGCTACTGGTCAGTTGGGAATCAATTTGGAGTGGGCAAATCTACTGTGGGGGCTGCTGTGATCCAACTAGTCAACGCAATCACTGAGCTGCTGCTATCAAGGGTAGTGACTCTGGGAAATGTGCAGGTCATAGTGGATGGCTTTGCTGCAATGGGATTCCCTAACTGTGGTGGAGTGATAAACCGAACACATATCCCTATCTTGGGACCGGAGCACCAAGGCAACCAGTACATAAACCGCAAGGGGTACTTTTCAGTGGTGCTGCAAGCACTGGTGGATCACAAGGGACGTTTCACCAACATCAACGTGGGGTGGCTGGGAAAGGTACATGACGCTTGCATCTTCAGGAACTCTGGTCTGTCTGAACGGCTGCAGCAAGGGACTTACTTTCCAGACCAGAAAATAACCATTGGGGATGTTGAAATGCCTATAGTTATCTTTGGGGACCCAGCCTACCCCTTAATGCCATGGTTCATGAAGCCATACGCAGGCACCCTGGACAGTAGTCAGGAGCTGTTCAACTATAGATTCATAGATATTAAGGTCAGAAGGGACCATTATGATCATCTAGTCTGACCTCCTTCACAATACAGGCCACCAAATCTCACCCACCCACTCCCGCAATAAACCTCTCACCTATGTCTGAGCTATTGAAGTCCTCAAATCATCATTTAAAGACCTCAAGGTGCAGAGAATCCTCCAGCAAGTGACCCGGGCCCCATGTTGCAGAGGAAGGCAAAAAAAACCCCAGGGCCTCTTCCAGTCTGCCCCGGAGGAAAATTCCTACCCAACACCAAATATGGCTAGCAGCTGAACCCTGAGCATGTGGGCAAGATTCACCATCCAGATACCCAGGAAAGAATTCTCTGTAGTAACTCAGATCCCACCCCATCTAACATTCCATCACAGGCAATTGGGCTTATTTACCATGAATATTTAAAGATCAATTAATTGCCAAAAATCATGTTATCCCATCATACCTTCTCCTCCATAAACTTATCGAGTTTAATCTTGAAGCCAGATAGATCTTTTGCCCCCCACTGCTTCCCTTGGAAGGCTGTTCCAGAACTTCACTCCTCTGATGGTTAGAAACCTTCGTCTAATTTCAAGTCTAAACTTCCTGATGGCCAGTTTATATCCATTTGTTCTTGTGTCCACATTGGTACTGTGCTTAAATAATTCCTCTCCCTCTCTAGTATTTATCCCTCCGATATATTTATAGAGAGCAATTATATCTCCCCTCAGCCTTCTTTTGGTTAGACTAAACAAGCCAAGCTCCACTATAGGCTGAGCAAGTGCAGAATGGTGGTAGAGTTGTGCATTTGGACATTTAAAAGCGCGCTGGCGCAGTTTACTGACTCGGTTAGACCTCAGCAAAACCAATATTCCCACTGTTATTACTGCTTGCTGTGTGCTCCACAATATCTGTGAGAGTAAGGGGGAGACGTTTATGGCGGGGTGGGAGGTTGAGGCAAATCGCCTGGCTGCTGATTACGTGCAGCCCGACACCAGGGCAGTTAGAAGAGTACAGCAGGGCACACTGCACACCAGAGAAGCTTTGAAAACCAGTCTCATGACTGGCCAGGCTACAGTGTGAAAGTTCTGTTTGTTTCTCCTTGATGAAAACCCACCCCCTTGCTTCACTCTACTTCCCTGTAAGCCAATGGCCCTCCCCCTACCCCCTTCGATCACCGCTTGCAGAGGCAATAAAGTCATTGTTGTTTCAAATTCATGCATTCTTTATTAATTTGTCACACAAATAGGGGGATAACTGCCAAGGTAGCCCAGGAGGGGTGCGGAAGGAGGGAAGCACCGGGTGCGGTGGGGGAGGAGAAAAGGACGAGGACGCACTGCACTTCAAAACTTATTGAATGCCAGCCTTCTGTTGCTTGGGCAGTCCTCTGGGGGGGGAGTGATTGGATGCCCGGAACCCCCTCCGCCACCCGCGTTCTTGGGCGTCTGGGTGAGCAGGCTATGGAACTTGGGGAGGAGGGCGGTTAGTTACACAGGGCCTGCAGTGGCGGTCTGTGCTCCTGCTGCCTTCCCTGCACCTCAACCATACGCCGGAGCATATCAGTTTGATCCTCCAGTAGCCTCAACATTGCTTCCTGCCTCCTCTCATCGTGCTGCCGCCACCTCTCATCTTGCTCCTGCCACCTCTCATCTCGCTCGTCCCTTCTGTCCTCGCGTTCATTTTCTGCTTTCCTGTACTCTGATATTGTTTGCCTCCATGCATTCTGCTGAGCTCTTTCAGTGTGGGAGGACTGCATGAGCTCAGAGAACATTTCATTGCAAGTGCTGTTTTTTCGCCTTCTTATCTGCGCTAGCCTCTGGGACGGAGATGATAGGAGGAGTGTTGAAACATTTGCAGCTGCAGGAGGAAAAAAAAGGGAGAGTAGTATTTAAAAAGACACATTTTAGAGAACAATGGGTAGACTCTTTCACGGTGAACCAAGCTGTTAACATTACATAGCACATGTGCTTTCGATACAAGGTCACATTTTTCCTCTTATATTGAGGGCCTGCCGGTTTGGTCTGAGAGACCACACACGCAGGGCTGGGCGCCAGACTTCGGCTTGCAGGCAGCCATGGTAAGCCACCATGTTAACCTTCATAACATGTGGGAATGGTTTCAAACAGCAGTGCCCTCATTTCCCATACCAAGCACCCGCTGGGTTGGCCATTTAAAATGGGTTGGCCATTAAAAAAGAGGGGCTGCGGTTTTCGGGTTAATATGCAGCACAAACCCAACTAACCCCCCCACACAGCCAATTCTCTGGGATGATCGCTTCACCACTCCCCTCACCGTGTGGCTAACAGTGGGGATGATTTCTTTTCAGCCACAGGCAAACAGCCCAGCAGGAATGGCCACCTCTGAATATCCCCTTAATAAAATTCCCCTATTTCAATCAGGTGACCACGAATGATATCACTCTCCTGAGGATAACAGAGAGATAAAGAACGGATGTTGCTTGAATGCCAGCAAACACCGGGACCATACGTTGCCATGCTTTCTTATGCAATGATTCCAGACTACATGTTACTGGCCTGGCATGGTAAACTGTCCTACCATGGAGGAGGCAATAAGGCTGCCCTCCCCAGAAACCTTTTGCAAAGGCTTTGGGAGTACCTCCAGGAGAGCTTCATGGAGATATCTCTGGAGGATTTCCGCTCCATCCCCAAACACGTTAACAGACTTTTCCTGTAGCTGTACTGGCCACAAGTGCATCCCAAGTCTTCAGGGCAAATTAATAATTAAACATGCTTGCTTTTAAACTATGTATTATATTTACAATGATACACTCACCAGAGGTGCCTTCTCCGCCTTCAAGGTCCGGGAGCTCGGGTTGGGAGGGTATTGTCCCCAGGGTGATAAACAGTTCCTGGTTGTTGGGAAGAACAGTTTCTCCATTTGCCTGCTGTGTGCTATCTTCAACCTCCCCCTCCTGGTCCCCCAAATCTTCATCCCTATTGCGTGAGACTCCCTTGCAGGAGTCCATGTACAGGGGTGGGGTGGTTGTAGGGGCACCCCCTAGAATTGCATGCAGCTCATCATAGAAGCAGCATGTCTGGGGGTCTGACCTGAAGCGGCCATCTGACTCTTTGGTAGGCTTGTCTGAGCTCCTTAAGTTTCATGCGGCACTGCTGCGGGTCCCTGTTATAGCCTCTGTCCTTCATGTCCTTGGAGATTTTTTCAAATATTTTGCCATTTAGTCTTTTGGAACAGAGTTCTGATAACACGGATTCATCTCCCCATACAGCGATCAGATCCAGTACCTCCCGTTCGGTCCATGCCAGACCTCTTGTGCAATTCTGGGACTCCATGGTCACCTGTGCTGATCAGCTTGCCACACTGGCCAAACAGGAAATGAAATTCAAAAGTTCGCAGGGATTTTCTTGTCTACCTGGCCAGGGCATATGAGCTGAGAGTGCTCTCCAGAGCGGTCACAATGGAGCTATCTGAATTAGCTCTCGGAGGCCAATACCGTCGAATTGCGCTCACACTACCCCCAAATTCGACCCGGCGATGTTGATTTTAGCGCTAATCCCCTCATCGGAGGAGGAGTACAGAAATCGATTTTAAGAGCCCTTTAAGTTGACATAAATGGCTTCGTCGGGTGGACGGGTGCAGGGTTAAATCGATCTAATGCTGCAAAATTCGACTTAAACTCGTAATGTAGAACAGGGCTGTATCTCTATGTTGCTAGGACTTTAGGAGGGCAAGATTTCCAAGCATATGTCAGGGATCCCAGTTGCTTAGCCTGGGTTAGCCCTAAAGGACATACAGAGTTTGTACATTACAGCAGCTTCTATCACCTTTTGGAACCTAAGACTGTATGTTTATCTGATGTTAACCTTGTAAATAACTCTCTTTTATTTCCTTTTCCTAGTTAATGATTCTTTAGATAGTTGATCATAGGATTGGCTAAAAGCATTGCCATTGGTGTGAGATCTAAGGTGCAATTGACCAAGGGTAAGCAACTGGTCCTTTGGAAAGGGAACTAATTTGAATAGTGCTGTGATCTTTGGTGTTAGGGACCATCTATCACTATCTGGGTAGTCAGATTGATCGGAGTATCCAAGGGGACTGTCTAACTCCATGTTAAGGCTGTTATAGTGCCTAAGGAGTTCACACTTGATAATTAGTTGTTGAAATCTAAATATAGAACTCACAACCAATCTAGGGGCCATGAATAAGCATTCACCTCACATTTCCCATCAGTACGCATACCGGGACAGGGAAGCTAATGATCCAACCAATGGACCAATTTCAGGGATGAATTCTGGTCATGTGCCACCTGGAGCACGTTTCACATACACGAAGAACACAACCAATCTGGGGTTTGTATCCTGCTTAACAGTCTGCCCTGATGTTGGTACTCACGCTCTTGAGCCACTCCAGACAGCTTGACAGGAGTCATGAAGGGCTGTCTGTTCTCTTAGCCTTCCAGCATCACTCTTTTCATTAATTATGTCATCACTAGGGATTGTACTTATGATAGAGACTCATTAGTTTGGTTGTTTTTTAAACCAAGGCAGTTTTCTACTTTGCCTCTCTGCATCCTTCTCTCCCCTCCCTAAAAAACAACAATCTTGAACTACATAAGCAAAGTCTCTGAAAAACAACATTCGAACAGGAACCTTTGCAAAGAATATTACAGCTCTAACAAATGATGACCCACAGGAATGACTTTATGGTAAATATGGGTGGGGGGAGAAAGAATGTGTGCATTTTGCTGGGTGTAACGAAGTGGGGGATTTTCTTAGTGTTTTGCATGAATACTCTGTGGGTCTCAGTTTCCGTGTGCGCTGTGCATTTAACGAGGTGGTGGAAGGGGGTTTGTTGTTACAGAGGACCAGGTGTGACCTCACCTAGCAGCCAGGACCCCAGACAACTGCCTGGAGATGGGGGACCCTAGCGACCGGTGACCTGGTGACCGGGAGGTCCACCCCAGCTTAGCTGTCAACCAGTTCTGGGCAGTGGGAGGACAAAGGGCTGGGGAGAGAGTACCCCAGTGACCTGACCAGCCGGTTCCAGACAGTGGGGAACAAAGGATGGAAGAAAGAGGGCCCAAGCAATCTGTTTACTGGGACCAAAGATAAAAGGACGGGGAGGAGCTGTTGGGGGAGATGATATTGGACGATCAGCTGGAAGGAGGGGGCTTCTAGGCTGGGGAGGGGGAGCAGCAGAGCCCATCTGGATGCAGGAGAGACCTAGATGTACTGTGCTGAGGGTTGCTAGGCCCAAGGGCCCAGAAAGTTTTCTGTGCTGGGTTCAGATGCTCAATAAACCCTCCTGTTTTATGCTGGCTGAGAGCCACTGCAATCTAGAAATCAGGGTTGCACTATTCCCTCTGGGAGTGGAGGTCCCTGGGGTCCACAGCGAGTGGACTTTGCTATGAAATCACAGAGGGGGTCCAGGGGGAGACAGGCGTGCTGAAGCCTCAGAGAAGTGAGGTTCCAGGATGTGGAGGGGCCTATGGCTTAACCCCAGAGAGAGAGTAAACCACCGAGAAGGGCTGTCATACTGAAGGGGGTTCCTCCCAGGGACCATACAGAGCCGAGAGAGAGCACGAGTCCTCTGAGTTTGTGACACAGGGCAAGTTGTGTTGATCTGTGCGTAAGCTGAATTGCAACACTTGAACCAAGTGATCTATCATCTGTACAGTCTCCCTCACACAACCAATAAAACTGTTGCATGCAAATTTGCTGTAGAGTAAGGGTAGTGATTGATTGAGTTACTTCTGATATCACAATGGTCTAGGATTCTTGGCATGACAGACACATGCCTTACTATAGCTGAAAACCTGTGTCACAATTAATGTAATTTGTTAAAATGGCTGAGAATTTAAAAACTGGATGGAAACATACCCTGAATCCCAGTGATGATTGAACCTGGTGATATTCTAAACAAAAAGAGCTCTCGAACATGCTTGTAGCCATTTCCATCACATTACACTGATTTAACAGACATGCTACGCTTTAGATTGACAGACAGAGTTACAATCCTGGAATTTTATAGATAGATAATAGGCATATACATAATTCTATAAAATACATAATTCTATAAAAGTTCTTGCAAACAAAATCCTCTTGGGATACAGTTGGTACAAGAGAATATCAAAATAAGAGCAAAATCCTGCCAATAATTATTCACATATATAGAGTTAACCTTGCATGAAGTCCCACTGAACTAATGGAATAAGCATGCATGAGTGTAACTATTTGCAGGATGGGACCGTAAAGTTGCGCTATTCACTAATATATTTGCCTTAAATAGAGCCTTGTTACCTTTTTATCCCCTTCATCTGATCTTTTGAAGGAATTTTTTTCCAAGGTTGCATGTGGAATCTGAAATTTAACTCCATGTATTTCTGCTGCATTTCCATATCTCATTTCAATGTCATTTTTCAGTGCCATAAACCGAGGAAGAGGCAATTCTTTATTAAAAGAAAGAAAGAGAAGTTCAAATGAGACTACAGCATATTAAAATTCTTTGAAGCAATACCGCAGTGCAAACCCAATTAAAAGTTAAACTATAAAATAAGAAATAGCACTAAGAATTTAAAAAAAAACCACCTATGGAACTTCTGGAATTATTTATGTGTCTTAATAGCAAATATTATGATGATCCAAAGGTATATTCACTAGATATTTTATTACTGTAAAAAGAGAGAGGTGCCTCATTCACAGTACGAAGCCAAGTCTCAAACTCATTTCTGGTCTGAACCCTAGCCAGCACCATTACATATGTTGTTCATTGTTGTCTACAAGTAGTTTCCAGAAGAAATTATGGGAGCAATCAATTTATTAGGGCAAGATCACTGTATGCTCCATGCTGTCACTAGAACAGAAAAAAAAAGCACCAAGTTAAACAGACTGATTCAAAGCCTAGTAAGACTGTGGTATCAGAAATGCTACCATTTACCATAGCTCAGAGGAACTGAAGAGTGACACTTATAACCTCATGCATCATCCAATAATCAAATACTGTTCTAAGGAAATTTATCATCCTATTGTTGCAAACTTCCACTTCTCCACATAGTAAGTTATAAGATCAATACAACAAAACAAACAGAATAAAGGCTCCTGGAATCAAGTAAAACACAATAGCATCTTTACAATCACTTATACATACAGCTGTTGCTATGAAATCAATCTACTTTTGCTGTACATCACTCATCCATTCCAACAGCTCTACTGTGTTTCTGAGGACAATGTAGTTAGTGCTTTTGAAACCTGGAAACATTTCAGCAAGTAAGTGGGATATCAATCCAAAGACCATTGTTCATTCAAATCTATGCAGTATTTGTGAAACATACACATTGAATCTCACTTGATTCAGATTGCTGAAGTAGCCAATTTCTCCTCAAATTAACGTCTTTTGTCCGAAAAAGATGTTTAGGATAGACAGAGCAGGAATCTGACCGAAAGTCACCCCAAAATTTCTATTTAATAATGTCCCCTTGACAGATTTATGGTTTACTTGTTGGTTTGGAATTTTTTTTGTTTGTTCTTTTTTTAAATGTAACCTTCAAAACAAAGGCAGAAGTAATGTGAAAATCCCAGCTCTCAGGCTTGATGATCAAACAACATATTTAGGAGCCTAGTCTTAGAAGTTCTTTAGATAAGATTCTTGACCATTTAATTTTCACTCCCCTGCTGGCTCACAATGATGCAATAGCAAAGATAGCAGGAAGAATAGGGTCCAATATGCATGGACACAACAGCAGTCTCAACAAATGCAGTGGTCTGGATTTACTGGTGGAAGATCACAAAGGCTTGGAACTGGAATCTCTATCAAACACAGTTTTGAAGGTATAATGGCAAATTAAAACACACACCCACACACGGGGATAGTTTTAAAAAATTAAAGTTTGAATTGGAAGTAAAAAAGGCATCAAAATCTGTGATCCTGCTACAAAACACACACAGTAAGGTTTTCAAATATGGCACTGCCATGTTGTATGTTTCCTAGGCTAAAGCTTATTTCTGCAAGATCAATATAAATACCTTGATAACTCTAGTTCAACTGAAAACCTATCCTAATTAATAATGCCTTGATTCTGATTGACACCCAAGTGAGTTCTTTTCAAGGATTTCAAGAATAATATTTCAGTCAAAGAGAAGGATCAAGAATGACAAAATGGCACAAGATAGCTATGGAAGTGAGAGCTTGGAATTCCTATTCTACCTGAAGCAGTTTACATTTTAGTACTAAAATCACTTCATTACATCAGATGCCTTTGGATGGATCCCTGGTTAGTGGGAGTTCAGCAAAAGCTGTGCTAAACTGGATTGTCACTACATAGTTTCTATGTCAAACAGACATAACAGGCCCAGAAGAGGATCAAAATTTGAGGCGCCCACTTTAAAGTTTAAATCCTTTGCTTCTGGGCTGGCAGTGCAGGTGGCACCATGGATCTAATTATTTCCATTTTTTAGGATCTCACCAGTAAAAATGTTCTTCCAGCCTATCCACTTGGGATTTTTAAAAAGTTTCTTTTAAAAAATATTTTTTTTGCAGACAGGGTGTACTTAACATCAAGTTACAATGGAATCTGAACAGAAAATATGTTTGAAATAATCTCCAATGGACACTCTTACACCGTGGTTCTCAAACTGTGGGTCGGGACCCCAAAGTGGGTCGCCACCCTATATTAATGGGGTAGCCAGGGCTGGCATTAGACTTGCTGGAGTCTGGGGCAAAAGCTAAAGCCCGAGCCGCACCACCCAGGGCCAAAGCCAAAACCAAAACCCCACGGCTTCAGCCCTGGGTGGCAGGGCCCCCTGACTGGGGCTGAAGATCTTGGGCTTTGGCTTTCCTTCCCCTCCCACCACCCCACCTCACCCCACCCAGGGTGGTGGGGCGCAGGCCGGCTCAGGTTTTGGTCCCTGGTCCTGGAGTAATTTTTGTTGTCAGAAAGGGGTTATAGTGCAGTTAAGTTTGAGAACTCCTGATGTAACATTTACTGACAAAGGGAGTGATTTTTGCTACCTGTACCCATTCATTTCAACAGGTCTACTTGCAAAGAACGGCCCCATTCTGGCAAGGTGTTCTGCACAGACAGACCTCTGACTTCCCAAGGAGCCCCAACTTCAATAGACTCCATGTAGTTGCAGAGATCAGCCTGAGCAGAACTTTTAAGTCTAAAGTACCACACAGCATGAGTGAGGGTGGCAAAAATGGACCCACAATGATGACTGTCAACTGTCCTGTTATTTCTATAATGCTTTTATGGATGCAGAAGCAATTTGTACTTTTCTATCCATGTAACAACTTTCCACATAGAACCTAAGAATTTCATTGTAAATTTCTACCCATAACTGATGGATTATAAAACTACCTTCACCTCTTCCCTTCCTCCCCCTAAAATATTATTATATATCATAAATAGGATTTTGCTTTACAAACAGGTTGGAAGAAAAACTAACTGAAGCACATAATGTACAATGAATGTTAAAGAAATTAAAGAACAAGTTCATAGCACACTAAGCAAAGTGAGCTACTTACCACTCTTAATGCTCTCTATCCGTACTGGAAGGCCAGACTGCGCTGCAGCAATTAGTTTCAAAGCAACATAAAACTGAGCCGGACCAAAATAACCCACACGTTTTGCCCCACAAAGTTCTGTGACCTAAAGGAGAAAAAATACACACTTTGTAAAATACTTCTCGCTCTTTCCTCTTAGGAAACTTGCATTGCGTATTGAAGTAGAGAAGTCTTCTAGAACTAAAAACTCACAAGTCTGTTTGCAGCACTTTATTAAAAGTGAGCAATTCAGTTCAGGTCACTCTGTATACCTGAATACTGCTGAATTTAAAATAGAATAATAGAATATCAGGGTTGGAAGGGACCTCAGGAGGTCATCTAGTCCAACCCCCTGCTCAAAGCAGGACCAATCCCCAATTTTTGCCCCAGATCCCTAAATGGCCCCCTCAAGGATTGAACTCACAACCCTGGGTTTAGCAGGCCAACGCTCAAACCACTGAACTATCCCTCCCCCCCAAATAGATAAGTAGTTATTTATTACTCCTTCAAAAAACACTGCAGTGTAGCTTTGCTGCTATAAAATAGTTAACATGTTTCCACCCAAGAGGTGACTACATTTCATTAGTAGGTGAAACGATCCTTGTGAGCATACAGTCTATGAAAGCTTTTTGGGGTGAAAGCTGCACTATAAATAGGAGGTATTAATTATCACTATCTCTGTCCAACAATAATTCAGATAATCATTCTAACTACAAAATAAAAAGCATAAATACCCTAAAACTATTGCAGCAAAATATTTTTGTGAAACGTTAGACAGGCTTGAAATTAAACTCCTCTCTCAAACACATGCACAAGGTTAGCAACTATTTGCGCAAATTCACCTACTCTGTTTATTAGACCTCAACATCCTTGTCTACGGAGAAGACAAATTTACTTTTTGTTCATTCAGTTCACCCGGCCTTCAGGTAAATAAACATTCTCTATGGGCAAGTTTGAAATGCAGACCAAAACTAAGCGTATGTCCACCCAGCAAAACAAAACAAAAAACAACCCCACAGCAGCGAGTCTCAGAGCCTGGACCGATTGACTCAGGCTCATGCTGTGGGGATAAACATAGCAGTGTTGATCTTCGGGCCCCCCACAGTGCTGGCTCCAAGAGTCACGGGCCCCGTGTACAGTATGGTCCTGGAACTTTGATTTTCCCAGCCCCATGTGGCTCATGTGTGCTTGCCTGGGTCAGTCAGTTAGTGACAGATATGTGACTAGTGGCTGTGTTTTAAATCACTGAATCAGTGGTCTGTGTGTTGCAAATAATACTGCTTCTGTAAAATGTTGCATTTTGGCTTCACAGATATAATCTTGGGAGCCCAGACTCCCTCTTGGTTATCGCCAGCTGAACAGCTGTGCAGAATTAGAAAGTGGCCACAAAGAACTAAAGAGGACTTTCTGTGTGATGTCATGATACACTCCATGGCCAAAAAACAAGAACTGAAGGAGTGGTGGGACAGTGAAAAAGAGGGAACGAAAGGAAAACACAGTGTGCCAGAATGAAGCCACGGAGCGGCTCTTAAACATTATAGAGCGGACACGCTCCAAGTGATACTAGCACTGCAAACTGAGCAGCTCTGCACCCGCCCTCCCCTGCAGCCGCTGTTGCAAGACTCTTTCCCATGCGCCCCCAGACACCGCCAACACACTCTTATCAACCTCCTGGCTCCAGTCTATACCCATGGCATTCCACTCCTCCCCTATCACAGTCCAGCCCTGTGGACTCCCAGTACTCAACACCCGTCTCTCTGCAGTTTAGCCCTGCTGAAGTACAGTACACGCCGCAGTAAATACTCCAAAGGAGAAGGCTGCATATGATACTTGGACATATACAAATCTTTAACCGTCTCGGGATCCCACCTCCTCCTGGGATCCTCCCTTCTCCCTTCCCCCATAGTGCTGATGTGTTTTTTGTTTGTCTCTCTCCTCTGGTGGTTGTTTTTTAATCAAATAATTGTGTTGGTTTGAAAGCAATCTTTATCCTATTAATTGAAAGCAAACACAGCTCTGCAAAGCAACAGGCAATTTTTTAAAACTTCAGAAATAATCATCTGCACCAATCACAATCATCTCCTAGCATTACAAGCACTGCACTCCCGAGCATAGCAACAAATATTAGTGGCTTTCAGCTTCAAATTTCTGCTTCAAGGCATCCCTGATCCTTATGGCCCCACACTGTGCCCCTCTAATAGCCCTGGTCTCTGCCTGTTCAAATTCAGCCTCCAGGCACTGAGCCTCAACAGTCCAGCTCTGAATGAAGCTTTCACCCTTCCCTTCACAAATATTATGGAGTGTACAGCATGTGGCTATAGGCATAGGAATATTGTTATCGGACAGGTACAGCCTCCCATGTAGGCAGCACCAGCGGGCCTTTAAATGGCCAAAAGCACACTCAACAGTCATTCTGCACTTGCTCAGCCTATTGTTGAACAGCTCCTTGCTGCTGTCAAAGTGCCCCATGTATGGCTTCATAAGCCACAGCATTAAGGGGTAGCCAGGGTCTCCCAGGATCGCAATGGGCATTTTGACTTCCCCTACAGTGATCTTCTGGTCTGAAAAGAAAGCCCCTGCTTGCAGCTTCCTGAACAGGCCAGTGTTCCAAAAGATGCGTGCATGATGCACCTTTCCAGACCAGCCTCCGTTAATGTCTGTGAAACGCCCACAGTGATCCACAAGCGCCTGGAGAACCATAGAGAAATACCCCTTCTGATTAATGTACTTGGTGGCTAGGTGGTCTGGTACCAGAATTGGAATATGCATGCCATCTATTACCCCTCCGCAGTTAGGGAAGCCCATTTGTACAAAGCCATCCACAACGTCAAGCACGTTGCCCAGAGTCAGGGTCTTTTGGAGCAGGATGCAATTAGTGGCCCTGCACACTTCCATCAACACGAGTTCAATGGTCGACTTTCCCACTCCAAACTGGTTAGCGACCGATTGGTAGCAGTCTGGAGTAACCAGCTTCCACAGTGCAATCGCCACACGTTTCTCCAACGACAGGGCAGCTCTCATTCTCGTGTCCTTACGCTGCAGGGCTGGGGCCAGCTCATCACGCAGTCCCATGAGTGTGGCTTTCCTCATCTGAAAGTTCCGCAGCCTCTGGTTGTCATCCCAGACGTGCATCCCACCACTCAGTGCTGGTTTCCCAACTCCAAAAGCGGCGGTCCATTGTGATCAGCACCTCCATGAATGCCACAAGCAATCTCATGTCAGAGCTACTACGTGTGGTGAGATCAATGTTGCACTCCTCTTGCCTTTGTAGTTTAAGGAACAACTCCACTGCCACTTGTGATGTGTTAATCAGAGTGAGCAGCGTATTGATCCACAACAGCGGTTTCCCTTCAGCGCTCTCTGAATGGCGCTGTAACTCTGCCAGTATAGACATACCCTGAGGCTTGTTTCCTAGAAGGAGAGCAGCAGGTGAAAGTGCAGGAGCAGGTGGAATCAGAGATATTTATTGAATGGCATTGGGATGACTGGCTGGGCAGAGAACTGATGAGAGAATCACCATTTGGACTTTCACTGGTTAAGCAAGTAGGAAGCTGTGGTTTCTCCTGTTTTGCTCTACTCTATTCATTTTGTTATCTCATACTCCCACATCCAGCTTGTCTGTTTTGCCCACCTGTCACCTACCTCAAACTCACTGAAACAGGCTCACCTTACCTGATCACTCTCGTTACAGTGTGTATGGTAACACCTATTATTTCATGTTCCCTGTGTATATAAAATCTCCCCACTGTATTTTCCACTGCATGCATTCGATGAAGTGAGCTGTAGCTCATGAAAGCTTATGCTCAGATAAATTTGTTAGTCTCTAAGGTGCCACAAGTACTCCTGTTCTTTTTGTGGATACAGACTAATACGGCTGCTACTCTGAAACCTCCTTTACTTTGCCCACCACAATGGAGCCCAGACTGGGATTCCTAGTTGCTAATGTAATACACATAATTAATGAGTGGCAACAGCTTTGTTGTACGTGGGTACTGTGCTATATAATTGGTTATGCTTTGGCTATATACAGTATACATTTTATAGGAACCTTTAATAGCTTAAAACAAATGGCAAAATAGAAAAACATAGAGGATGATGTTATAACATAGGTAAGGAATTGCATTTGGTGTGCACAAAATAAAGCACAACCCCCTCACTGGCAACCCATGATGCAACTGTGGAGGCTTGGGCCCTGGCAGAGGGTTCAGATTAATTTTATTAACAAATTGCCAAAAAGTAAAAAAGAATTTCAGTGCTTGTTAGTAATAATTAATTCCTTTTCAACATGGGTAAAAGTATTTCCCACTAAAACTAACAGCACCAATAACAGATCCCGATAATGGTCGGGGGGGTGGGGAGGGGCCTTTGTGGAAAAAGTTTTTACATCAATGTTACAAGCTTTAGGAATTAAACAAAAATTCCATATATCACACCCAGCTCCCCGCTGCAACCAATCTGGCTAGCCACTAAATTAATCCAGACTCTAAACTGGTAACTATAAACATCAACTAGCAAAACTGTGTGCATAGTATATATGTATGTAACTAAAAAGCATATGCTAATTTCTGTATTCTGAATAACTGCGGCGTGTTGCCTTTTCCCCTATAAAAAAAAAAATTGTGTGCTCTGTTTAAGCATAACAGCTATTTTGTCTTTACATTAGAAGGTGAACTAACCCATTTTGAAAAGCTAAGAGACAGAAAACATCCACTTGTTCTCAGGTCAAATTAATATTTTCTATCTTCCCCATCCATCTGAACACACCTTGGTGGGGGTGATTAACTTTAGTACAGGTTTGCCCTTGCCCAGCAGGCCATCAGATGAAAGAAAAACAAATCATTTGCTTTAGAAATCGTCACATCAGCCCACATCATTATTTTAATAAAGTTTTTGCATAACATTTAAATGGATTTCTAAAAAGCTCTGGAGTTTTATTTGTAAGGATGGAAATGGGGGGCGGGGGTGGGAGGAATGGTGGTGTGTGAGTGAGAGAGATGTTAAGACTTTAGCTAGTTATTCAGCTGCCTTCAGGGGACCCAGTGGAAGGATGGAGATAAACCATCTCGAAAGTCTGGTTTTTCTGGTTCCATTTTTGACTGAGGTTAA